GATGACGAACGCACGTTCAACCGCGTGCTCAAGGTGGACAAGGCCTACCACTCCAGACACATGCTTCCCTGCGCCGAGCCGTACGTCGCGTCACTCCACCGCGCTGGGGTGAGGGCCCTAGAACCGACGACCTCGGGCTGCACCTGGTTCTCCAGCGTGTACGGAGGCCGTCCAGTCTCAACGGAATTCCACCTGAGTGACGCGTACTGGGCGGAGAACATGGTCCAGCCGGTGCTGTTTGCAGAGGCACTCACTGCAGCCGTCACCACGGGTCTGCCCCTGGACGTGGCCGTCGAACTTGGACCGCACCCAGCACTCCAAGGTCCCGCGACGCAGACCGTCGCGGAAGCGATGCAGAGGCCTCTTCCCTACCACGGCACGCTGGAGCGTAAGAAGAGCGCCATGGAGGCGGTCTCTGCCTCTCTGGGCTTCCTGTGGTTGTACCTGAACACGTCGGACATCAACCTCCAGCAGTGCCAGGTGGCCCTGGCAGGCCAGAAGCAGAAGCAGAATCATCCTGCCATCAGCCAGGGGCTCCCTACCTACCAGTGGGACCACAGGGCATGGCACTGGCACGAGTCCAGGAGGTCGAGGAGGATGCGTCTTCGTCAAGACCCGTTCCATCCGCTGCTCGGCCACGCCTCGCCGGACAATGCGCCTCACCACCTGCGCTGGACCAACGTGCTCAAGCCCACGGAGCTGCCGTGGCTCACGGGGCACCAGGTCCAGCAGCAGATTGTGTTTCCTGCCGCCGGCTACCTGTCGACGGCGTTTGAGTCGGCCAAGGCCCTGGGCGAGGGCAAAGGGACCATCCGACTCATCGAGGTCGACAACTTCCACATCCACCAGGCGGTCGCGTTCGAGTCGGAAGACGCCAGCATCAAGGTCTCGATTGAGCTGAGCCAGGTGGCCCAGCCTAGTCCCGGCACGGTGACGGCGCTTTTCTCATACTCAGCAGCGCTCGGATCCCAGGCAACCGACCTGGCGCTGGCCGCCCGTGGGGAGCTCAAGGTATACCTGGGCGAGGCATCCCCGTCTCTGCTGCCGGAGCGTGTCAAGACGCCTCCTTACCTTCTGCCCTGCGCAAAGAGCCGCTTGTATCGCTTCATGGTGAGCCTCGAGTATGACTTCGCTGGTGGCTTTCGCTCGCTCGACCGTATCGAGAGGAACCTGGGCAGAGCAACGTGCCAGGCCAAGAGGGCCATGACCGACGACAGCAGCTCCGTCATGATCCATCCCGTCGATCTCGACGCCGCGTTCCAGTCAGTGATGCTGGCCCGCAGCTACTCCGGCGACGACGAGATTCGCACTCTGCACCTCCCCGCCAGCGTGTCCAAGGTCCGGATGAACCCAGCCCTGTTCGCGTCTAGGCCCGGCGAGGACGAGCATCTGGGTCGACGCCAAGAGCGTCCAGGACCATCGCACGAACACCGTTTCTGGCTTCTCGGGCTCCGTCACGGTGTACAGGGCCGGCTGCTGCCACGCGGCTGTGCAGCTTGACCACGCTAGCTTCAAGCCCGTGGGCTCGGGCGGCGGGGACGCGCCTCGCAATGTTTTCCACAAGATGCCCCTGGTGCCTCGTGCCCCGGATGGCGTCATCGCCGCCCAAGGCATCTGCGTGACCGAGGACGACGTGCTGATCCTGAGGACCCTGAGTCGACTCGGAACGTACTACTTGCGCACGTTTGATGAGCAGGTGCCCTCCTCGGCTCCGATCCGGTTGGAGGGACCCTTGCGCTTCTACTTGGCTTATGCACACCACATGACACAGCTGGTCAGAGACGGCAAGCATCAGTACGCCGAGAGGGCGTGGCTGCAGGACAGCCTGGAGGACGTCCAGGCGGAGATTCGAGAGCGAGGGTGAGTGCGCCCGCC